TATATATATATATGCAGCTGCCTTCTTGAAGTAAAGTGGAAAGTTATGGTAATGGATGAGAGTTTAGGTTTTTATTCTAGGGAAATTATGCAGGCTGCGTGCACCACACAAGAAAAGAGGCACAGCTAAATTTGTTATGTAAATGATGCGGGTGTATTTTTTGCATTTTATTTCAGCTGACCATCTGTGAACACTCCATTTATTTTGAAACATTTCAATTAGCAGCTCATGTATGATTAGCTAGTGAGAACAGGTGAGATGATTACAGATGGCCAGCAGGTGTGTGTACAAGCTGAAGGAAAGAATGGGCTGAAAGTAAAAAAAATAAAAAATAAAAAAACTTGCAGAAAGTGACACCGAAACTATACAAGAAACTTCAAAATAAGGAAATAAATTATATGACCAAACATCAGGAAAAACCAAAACCGAGATAAAGTGGTCATATTATTTTGGTTAATCCTTATATAAACTGGATTCAGTTCTTGCAGAACATGGGCGTTAAACTGTGGTTGAATACCTTTTAAAAATGTTGTGAAATCTTTCTTGTGGAATTTAAATGGCCTCGGGAACATTTTTTTTTTTGTAAAAAGAAAACAGACGCTGACAGAAAGCAGGTCAGATTTGAAAGCCTCACTGTTTGTCACTTCCAGTTGTTTTTAGCAGCACTTCCTCGCTGACAGGAGACAATTATAATGACASCTTGTCAGCTCTAAAAACGACCGGACATCCTGACGAAATGTGCGGAAACACCCTGCGTTCTGTCCGACAGATAATTAAACGTTTCCTTCGGTTTTGCATCATTGTCAAACTGAATTTGTTTACAAAATGTCTGAATTTGCAGCTCATTTATAAAAGCTCTAATACTGAACTGGTCCCTTTTGAACATACTGTCCATTCATGAAAAATGTGTTCTGATGTTTTCTGGCTAAAGATTTTTCTCTATGACATTTGTACCCCGTATGCTTTAAATCTGAAATGTATTTGACTTTTCTTCACAGAGAAACTGAAACACTTTATGGTTGGTTAGATAGACTGATGTGTCTGATAACTGTAATTCCATGCCCTTTTCTTGCCTTCCTTAATGTATATACGTAAATATAAAAGTAGTTTTATATCAATGGTAAATTTTTAATTTATGATTAATGCAACAAAATAAACACAAACTCTGAGACCACTGAGCAATTTAATTGAATAGCCCTTTCTCAAAATAGGTTGCTTTAAAGCCATTATTGACCATGAGCTACATCAATGCATGATGACTATGGGAATTCCCGATCAAGTTCAGCAGGTGAGTTCAAAATTCAAGACTTACCAAAACTCAGCACTGAGTAAAACTCACTTCCTTTTACGTTCAATAGTATTTTGGTATTGTTTCACATTTATTATTTCACATTTAGTTAGTCATACATGCRTTTKGAAGTTAATTACAACTGGCCCTTTGAGGACCACCAGAATGCTCACGTGGCCCTCAGTGAAAATACATTTGACGCTCCTGCTTTAGGCTGACCATTAAATGCAAAAACCTGCAGGAACTGCAGTCTGAAGAGATGTCAGTGTGATTTAATGAAAAAAAATTGGTGTTTTTATAGTAMTGAAAAGAAAAACGTTAATTTACATTAAAATTACTGCATCTTCTTTCAGTCACAAACAAGAAAATGATCTAAAAGTCAATTTCAGGTTATGTTTTTTGTTTTTTAATGAGTTTGATTTTTTTATTAGAACATAATGGTAATAATTTCTTGTACTGGTATAAGATATTCCATAAATATGCTGTACGTTCATAAAAATGTTAAGTTTAGACATGCTTTAACKCTCATTTGAGAGTATTTTTAGTATCTGTTGCAGCCCCAGCTGTAAAAGATGAAACAGAACTCTGAACTCTCTGCCTCTCTGCAGAGAGATCAGAGGGGCGATGTGAAGCATCGTGTCAAGGCCCTGCAAAAAAAAATAAACAGCTGAAGAAAGAAAATGGAAGGAATCCCTAAATAAGGTGAACAACACAAGCTCATCACGGAACCCTCTGGAGTCAGAGCTCAAACATTCAAACTGCAGATCTGTGTGACAACAGCTTTAACAAGATTTCCACAGGGACACAAGAAGGAACTGAGAGCAGGAAAATATGAGATTGTGCTCACAGGAAAATTAACGGATTTATTGGATTCCCAGAAACAAAGAGCAAAAAAAAAAGGCATTATAAACGTTAAATAATGGAAAATGTATTATTGGTTAAACTGTTAAAAGGTGATTTGTTTAAAATAAGGTGGTTCTACACATCTGATCTGATCGTTGAGCAGCACTGATGCGCTACAGATGTCTCTCCATCACCAGCTGCGCAGCAGACATTCACGCTTCAGAAAAAAACTCAAGATTTTACATCATTCTGGATTTAAGGTTGATTTCTATAAAAAGAAAAATAAAATAAAATGAAGAAATCCACTCTAAGTTGTGCAAAAAGTGCATGTCATGCCTTTATCCAGGCTCGTTACGCATGCCTGGAGAGCGCGCGTGCCTTTGGTTCCAAACACTTACCAAGCGAGTTTCCGATGAGAGAGACGAAGAACACGATGATATAAGCCACGATTAAAACCCACTCGTACTCCTTGGGGTGTAARTACTCCGTCCAGATGTATCTCAGAAGTTCGTCGTCCGCATCCATGGTAGAGTGCGCGTGCTGCTCCGTGCTGTTGGCCACGTGGACAGGGAAAATGCAGTCGTCGCAATCCAGATTCCCCGTAATCCCGGACATCCTTTCTGGGGGGTTGTCTGCGCGCTGAAGGAGCTGCAGGACAGCCGTGCGTCTGCACCGATGGCTGGTTGGAAACAAGGACGCGGCACACGGCTGAGATGAGAGGACGCGCGTCAGAGTGATGATGATGATGATGATGATGATGATGATGATGATGATGATAAGAGGAGGAGGATGTTCCCCGTGTTTCCCCCCACGTTTACTACAGGGTCAAACAGCGGGGACGCAGCAGAGCCGAGCCTAAACGTGACGCAGGCTCACATGGGGACCATTTGCATCAACTGGGAGTTTGAGTGAAAAGGATCTGAAAGGAACAGAATTTTTTTCCTAATTCTTATTATGTAGTGCTAAAGATGTTTAAAGATAACCCTGATGGATTTGAGAGAAAGATTATAGAAAGAAGTTGGATTATTTAGGTAGAAAACAGGCTAACATGAGCTAACATATTTTACTTTTTGAATTAGTATTTTTGTATTTGTAGTATTGATCACATATTTGCATAAAATTTATTAGTGTTATAAGTATAAAAACAAAAAAAAAATTCTGTTATGTTTGGTCACATTTTCAAAGAGCCACTGCAGAGGGACCAAAGAGCCACGTGTAGCCCCAGAGCCGCAGGTTGCAGACCCCTGAGTTAACCAATAAGTTTGATTGAAGGGAAAACGAGCACTTAAGCTGCAGGGAGGCAGTCTGCAAGAAGAGTGGGGAGAGAGCCAGTCCCCAGATTAGAGAAGGGTGTGCCTCTCTCATGCTGCTCACACCTGCAGGTATCCTGATGCAATCCAGGTAAAAAATCAAAAAGAAAAAAATTGTATAGGTCTTCTGGATGGGTTCTTCTCTAACGAAACG